ACTGAACACCGACCAAGGCTACGGGATGAACCTGGTTATTCTCTTGAGAAACTTCTGAACTAAATTCTCTGAGTGTTCTCCAGCTTGCCTGCCTTTAAACTGAGTTACTCTACCTTTGATGGGAGTTAATATTAAATTTATATCTGGAATCCTTCCACCTCAACAGGAAGACAAGCTCTTCCTCTCAGCCACAGAATTTTTAGAGCTCTACAAGTAACTCCGCAGATGAACTCCCTTCCTCCCTCTTTGCCTGACTTCCTTCCTTCTTTCTTCCCTTCTCTCTCTTTCTCTCTTGCCTGTCTCCCTTAAGTCTTCAAGGGGCCCTTCAAGATGTAGGCCTTGCTTGGCATGGGTGAGGGGTTTGGGGAGGGTGGAGTGTGGGGGTTTGGGGCTGGAGACGGGGGCACCCTGTCAGCCTGGCCGGGTTTTGGACTATGGCTCTTGGTGCTGGCCCATGGCAGACTTCGGTCTCGAATCCCATTTTGCTGTCCTCCCTGCCTTGGTCTCCCCACGCCCCCGCATGAGACCCTGTTCCCCTGTGTAGAATGGGACTGCGACCATCCTGCTCTGATCCTCAGGGGAAAGTGGCGCCCAGACTCTCCCTCAAGCCTGGCTATTTGCAAACTTGTCAAACATGACGGTGAGCAGTGCAGGGCACAGCTGCCGGTGACTAAGGACACCCTCCCTGCACTTTACAATATCTTCTTTCGTTTAATCTCCCAACGACTTCCCCAGAAGCCGCAGACAATCCTTAGAGGACACTCGCTACCTGAGCTATGAGCTGTTACTATCATCCTCACTTTATACGGGGAAATGGAGGCACAGAGAAGTCAGTAATGTGCCTAAGTTCAGATGTGCTGGTGAGCAGCAGAGCCCAGATTTAGGTCCAGCGTCCAGAAGCTTGTCTGCTCCGCCATCCTCCCTCTCCAGGGGCTGCGACAAGCCCTGTGGCCAATTTCCTGTGAAGCTGATGGAACTTAAGCTTCAGAGCTCTCCTTGCAACAGGTCCCTTCAAAGGAGCCTTATCGGGGGCTGGCAAAGGGGTCACCTGGTCATATGTGTTTGCCAAGTTTGTAAAAGTAAGGTATTTTTGTACTGTATTATTTTTCTTAAAGAGGGTTATCTAAGTTATATAAGCTTCAGCCTCACAACACCTGGGGCCACTGCTGGGTTTTCCCCATTTTACACATGAGCAAAATGAGGCTCAGAGTAGTCCCATAGCTCACACAGAGCCACACAGTAAAAACTGGTGGAGCAGAGATGTGGACCCAGATACATCTGGCTGCACATTGGACAGAACCCTTCACGGCTGTAAAGGTTGGGCGCATGCATTTTTAGGACCCCCTCCCCTCCGCTCCCAGCTGTCTCTCTACCCCTGGTGAGGCTGAGCCACTTCTCTCCACAGGCGGTGAGTCCTGAGGAGAGGTTCTGGAATGCATCTGGGGCGGCCTTTGTGACAGTCCAGGAGCCGGGGCAGGTGGCAGGGGCATTGGTGGCAGAGATCGTCTTGACAACACTGCTGACACTGGCCGTATGCATGGGTGCTATCAATGAGAAAACACAGGGCCCTCTGGCTCCATTCTCCATTGGCTTCTCTGTCACCGTGGATATCCTGGCAGGGTGAGTGTCCCTTGGCAGTGGGACTGTGGTGCCCAGTGATGGGTTGAGGCTCAGTTCTGGAGGAGGTTAGTCCTGCAGATTAGGCTCAGTTGCCAACAGAGGCCATGAAGATAATGCAAATGAGGGAAGTGGGCTGGCACTAGGCAGACAAGAGGGAATGGTGGGGACTGTAGCATCTAAGGAGGCCACCACTATGAAAATCTGATAAGCTACTTCTGTGTGGGAATATGGGCTGGGGTGACTGATCTTCTAATTTCACTCCAGGGAAGTCAGAAGACTGGAGTGTTATGTGGAATTTTCCAATTTTCATAGTGTCAATAAAACATTTCTGCAAGCTATGTTTGTCCAGCCAGTGGACAGTCAGGTCCTACAAAGGGCTTCCATACCCACTGTCTCATTTATGTTGAGCCTCTCAGTAGGCTTGGGAAGGGATTAAGGAGACAAGATTGGGTCAGGGATTATTTCTCCCATTTTATATATGAAGAAACTGAGGCTCGGAGAGGACATAAGTGACTTATTTAACGTCATTGGGCAGTGGCAAATTAAGTGACAGATCTGGAACGAGAGCCCAAATCTGCTAAAGGGGATGAGGCAGCCACTGCTTAACGTTTAACTCCTTCCTTTCTCTTGGACACAGAAGCGACTCTTGCCTTCCCGCCTCTGCCCTCAGCTCCGTGCCCTCGTTTGGGAAGCAGAGTCTGGGGAGCTGAGAGCGTGTAAAGCTGTGGCTGGACTTTGCTGCCCTCTAGTGACTCACTTGCAAGCCTACTGACTCCTTTTGGCTTTGCCTACTAGACGCCGGGTTGGGGGAGGGATGAGGTCTTTAGGACCCCAGCTTGAGTGAATGGGGGAAGGATACAGACACCTGGAGAACAGTCCCCTGGAGGAGATCCTGGGCCCCAAGCTTGTGGTGCAACAAGAGTCTCCACCAGGTCAGCCAGATTAGAGTTAACATTGTTCACGAATTATGTGACATGGGCTATACACACACGTTTTCTCATTCACTCCTGACAACAACCTATGAAATAGCTACATTCACCTCAACTGAAACACAGAGAGGTTAAACAGAGGTCACAGCTAGAAATAGCTGGGCTGGGTTTTGAACCTAGGTTGGCCTGACTCCAAAGTTCATGTAGTTGACAATTGCTTGACTTTGCTTTATCAACTTTGGAGAGGACCTGGATCCACCTTCTTTTCCTGCCATCACCCAACAGGCACGCCTTGCTGGCCATTCTTCTAGAAGGGTGTGTAGGGAGTGGCAGACTGTATGCCCAGGGAGGAGTCAAACCTTTCACTTCTGAATGAAAAAGAAGTGATAGCTTCTTTGCCTGTGTCTTCCTTGGAACCCCCCAGAACCCCATGATATAGTAGCTCAGAGAGGGTTTCTGGGTGGTGTGTGACATAGGCCTAGTTGGGGAAATGAACTTGAGGTGAGTGGGGCCTGGCTGGGATCCTGGTGACCTGTGTGGCTGGGTGTTTGCAGGGGTGCTGTGTCAGGAGCCTGCATGAACCCTGCCCGTGCCTTTGGACCTGCTGTGGTGGCCAACTACTGGAACTTCCACTGGATCTACTGGCTGGGCCCACTCCTGGCCAGTCTGCTTGTAGGAGCACTCATCAGGTAGGAGTGTGACCGGGGCCACTGGTCCATTGGAGGGGCACCTGGTGACAGCTCCCAGAGCGTCCAGGGCTGGAGGGCGGGGGTCTCACTCGGGCTGGAGAAGGGAAAGAGGGAGCCTTCTTCAGAGGTGAAGATTATGGCTCTGTGCCACTTGGTTGCAAGTGACAGAAATCCATCTGAACACAGCTTAAACCATAAAGGGGAATTCATTGGCTCGCATAACTGAAAAGTTCAGAGGTAGCACTGGCTTCAGGTAGGTGCTCCAACAATGCCTTCGAACCTGATCTTTCTCACAGGCTCAGCTGTCCTCTGCATAAGCCTCACGCTTGGTTAGGCTCTCCAGTAGTGGCAAAGATGCTTTCTAGGCTTATATCCTAGCAGCCTAACAACTGCAGAGGAACTAGAACAACAACTCTAGCAAAAGTCCTGGGTCTCATGGTCGCTGGTTTGCACCGGCCCAGCTTGGGTCAGGTCTACCTCTGAATCGATCACTGTAGCCATGGGTGGCAGCACTCCTGTGGGCTATGTCTGGAGCATGAGCCTAATCCTGGAGGGGGCGTGAGGGTAACCTTACCCGAACAACCATATGGACTCAGGGTAGGGGAGGAGCAGTTCCCCACAAGGGTGCTGTGCAATTCCGGGGGGCCCTATCCACAAAGAAAACCATGTATCTGGTGCCCCAAGAACATGCACGTCAGGAGATGCCATTCACATAAAATACAATGTGAGCAGTACTCCCTGGAGTCGTGCGATAGATAATAAAGTTGAAGTCATCAGAGGGAGACTATCTGCTTGACTGCTTCTCCTCGGGCTCTCTTCCTGTGAGCCTCAAGGACCTGTAGGGTCCTGTTCTTCCTGCTCCAGGCGGTGCAGGGATTAGGGTCTGCATTTGGTACAAGTTGGGCCTATGTCCCGCTGTCTGGGAGAGGACAGTCACCGGGCTGGGCTGATCTACATCACTGCCCATCGGCAGTCCTGGCTTAGCCCACGGCGCAGTGAAAAGCATCACCAATAATTCTCTGTCTGTTGCTTTCAGAATGGCAGAGATGGGCGCCTTCAGGAAAAGGGCTGGAAACCAAACAGGAAAGAGTTTCTACTGCTCCCCAAGGCGATCTGGCTACTGAGACTGGGAAGGATTAGGAAAGAACTTCCTGTCTGGAGAATTCTGGGCCTGGAGACATTGACGAAGGGCTGCGTCTCTCCTCGAGAGACTCAGAGACCTCACTGGGCCATCTTTTTCTGTAGGTTGCTCATTGGAGATGGGAAAACTCGCCTAATCCTAAAGGGACGGTGAAGCTGAGATGGTGGAATTCCTACCGCTCCAGTTGCCCTCAGTGGACCCATCCTGGACTGCAGACAGGACAGCTTCTCATTTCCTGCTAGGGCAGAGGCCCAGAGGAGCAACTGACCTGGGTCTGGCTTCTTGGATAGACAGACAACTGCTAAGTCCTGGGGATGCTCTAGGTTCTTTGAATTCCTTTGTGCTCATTAGAGCCCTCAGCCTGGGGAACATGTTGCCAGCACTGCCCCGAGGGAGGTAGAAACAGCACAACAGAAGAGTTTTTCTTGACAGGGAAGTTCCAGTAGCAGAACAGTTGGAAGAGAAGGCTGTGTGTGTACATCAGCTCATTCCCCCACCCTTTTCTTTCTCCTTCTCTTGTTCCCTGATTCTATGTATTTCCTTGCTTCCTGAGCTGCCAATCTAGCTTTGCAATAAATAGTCCAGCATTTCCTTCTACATGCTCATTGGCTTGCCTTTCACTTCAGAAATGGGAATTGCTGGGGAAGAAGCAAAAGTCTGGGCCTTGGCCGTCCTGGGTCTAGTTAGCTTGGGTCCAGCTCAGAGTCCAGTGCCAAGGTAGCTGGCCAACCTAGAGCCTGCCCCCCACTCAGCCAGCCCCATCTCGGAGCCCTGTCTGAAGCTCAGAGTCCATTCTACAGTCTAGTTTGGTCTCGAGTCAGTCAATTCCAGATCACAGACCTCAGCGCCCTGCTGAAAACCCCAAAGCGGAGTCCAGGGTCTGGTGTAGTGCCCAGTACTATCCAGGATGTGGATCAGCCCACTCATCACACTCAGCTCGGGAGGAGAGTGGGTGCGGGGGTGGCCCAGAGCTGCAAGGATTTCCCAAGGAAATATACAATGTGCATAATATAGGGCTCGAGAGACAGTGATATTTGGATGGAAGATGTAAATATAATGAATAAGAAAGGATAAAAAGATATTCTGAACTTCCCACTTTACAAGTAGAGTGTGCATCTTCTCTGTAAGAATTTATGGGTCGTTTATGGAAGATGATCATTATAACACCACAAAGAAGTGCTAGGGAAAACCAATCTTCAACATCAAACGAAAACTCACCCACTTCTACAAGATGAACAAAATGCTCACCTGAGTAAAAGTGAAGAAAATGCTCACTAGAGAAATTCACCAAGACAGTCAGAGACTGCCTACTGAGAAAATGGACACGATATCCCCAAATGTCCAAACCATTTTGGGGGAAAAAGAAAATAACAATAATAATAAAACAAAAAACCTAAAGAAAAGAAAAAGGGAGGAAATAATGTGATAAAATCAGAAACAAGAAACTTAGAACACTCACAAGGAGCGAAAAATAATAAAAGTTACTATTTCCTTGGGTGAAATAAATAATGAAATAAACCTTTGGTAAATCTAGTAACAAAATAGTTATATATACATATATACACACATGTTCATATACACAGATATCCACACATGTGCAGCTAGCATTCATTGAGTGTGTACTGTCTGCCCGGTGCTGTGCAAAATGCTTTGCATACATTATCTCATCTACTCCCCACAACAATCCTGTAAGGTAGGTGTAGTGGCTTGAATAGTGTCATCCCAAATTCATGTCCACTTAGAACTTCAGAATGTGACCCTATTTGGAAACAAGGTCTCTGCAGACATAATTAAGGTAAGAATCAAGATGAGGTCATACTGAATTAGGGTGGGCCCTAAATCTGAGAGGATCCTTACACGAGACAGAAAAGGACACATAGAGACACAAAGAAGACCATGTGAGGAGGGAGGCAGAGACTGGAGTTAGGCTGCCACATACCAGTACCAGGAGTCACCAGGAGCTAGAAGAGGCCACGAAGGATTCTCCCCCACAGCCTTGGAGAGACTTTGGTCCTGCCGACACCTGGATTTCAGACTTCTGGCCTCCAGAACTGTGAGAGAATAGATCTCTGTTGTTGTAAGCCAGTGAGTTTGTAGTCATTTGTTATGGCAGTCCCAGGAAACTCACACAGGTAGATAGTCTTATGTTCTCATTTTCCAGAGGAGCACATTGAGGTTCCAAGAGATGACATTACCTATAGTCACATAGTTGGTAGGTAGGTTGTGCAAAATTCAAGATCAGGTATGTTTGACTGCAGGGTTCATGACCTTGGTCATTATACTTCTGAACAAGGGACAGTATGTCTCCTGTGTTGTCTCCTACTTGCCTGTTGGGCCCCCATTAAGAGGGGGGACGGAAAAACGTGTAACTCTTCTCACTCCTGACTTGCATGTCAATCTCTTCATGTCAATTTCTAGACCATAATCTCTCAAGAGGAAGATCAATGCTAGTTCATCTTTGAAACTCCACATTCTTCGGCTTCGTGTTTGCTGTGTAGAAGGGACTAAGTACTCATTGACAGAAAGAATGGCACGGGCTGATCTCAATGACTCCCAAATTCATTCTGATCCTACAGAGTAGAATCCAAAATTGACCCAGATCTCCTAAGTTCACCTCCAACCCACCTCCTGTCTTCTCAAAAGCAAGGGCACAGAATTCTAGGATGTTAGAGGTAGAAACTCTATGATAGTAGTGAAATGTAGCTGCTGCGAGTTTGGATTCTGAGAAAGATCTGAGTTTAAATCTCAGAACATTTACTTCTTTGCTGTATAAGCCTGAAGAAGCTATTTAACTTCTCTCAGTCTCAGTTCTTTATCTGTAAAATGGAAATATTGCCTCAGGATGCTTATAGGAATAACATAAAGTTTGTAAAGCATTAGCACAATACTTAGTACATGATACATGGACAGTGTGTTAGCTTATATTTATTATCATTGAATCAAAGGTTTTGCAACTGGCAGGTGTCAGAACGAAGGCAAGGGGGTGGAGTTCTGGCAAGGAGATTCTAAATGGACTTTGCCCATATGTATTTTCTCAGTCAGCTACCCTCATATAAGGATTGGGGCCTCTTAAGGGGAAAAGGTTGGGAACCCCCATGCTGTCCAACTCCCAAACCAGAAAGGCTAAATAACTTGCCTATAATCACACAGTGATCTAGTGGCAGAGCTCAATCAGAATCCAGGGTTTTGGACACACGGTCTACTGTTCTTTCTATTCCAATAGGCATGTCTTGCTCTAGACCCTTGGAGGACAAGTACTGAGTCACTCCCTTTTGCTAGAAGTGGAGTCCTCACATGCCCTGTTGTTGGGAAGCCTACTGTTACACACTTGCGTCTCTCCCTCACAGGATTGTCCAAGAACTCTGAGAGTTTACGCAATCCAAAAGGGAAGTATGCCAATCCTCTACTCTCATGTCGCAACATTTTACTTGTGATTGCTGCTGCTGCCATTCGCCTCTCTACCACATGGTGCCACTGTTGGGAGTAGTCTCAGAGATGGTGTGTGCCACATAATAGCTAAGTCACACTTGTCCAGGCCAGGGCGTTTCTTGAAAGAGGGACCGTTTATTGACAATTCCACATCTTCATGCCTAGCACACCTGCACGCTCCAGGGGCTCTATGCTCATGTATCCAAGACACCGTTAAGACCAAGGCCTTTCAGGTCTTGCCCCCATCCCCTCTACCTGCACACTTCCATTCTCTTCCAGAGTCTGACCACCTCAGCATGGGTTTAGGCATTCGCCTTTCTTGGAACCCAAAGCCACTGTTTCCCCTCCAAGTCCCTGGACTCGTCATGGAGTTTGGGGGTTGTGACTGACTACGTTCCTTTTAGTGTTCCTTGAAACACAAAGCATTCATTCGCCTCCCTTAAAGTCTAGTTGCCTTAACTAGTTTACAGGAATTGAAAATTTGTGGTCTTTAGAGATTTTTTCCCCTTTAGAGATTTGAAGTTTCTCATCTTATTCCTAGATCTAAGTCAGTTCGCAGACCTAAATCTCGGTAGACATGGAAGTTCAGGTAATCTTGTGGAAGAACTTTGATACAACACTGCACACAAATATCACTGGCCTTTATCTTTGCTTCCTCCAGAAAGGTCGTGTGCATTTATTCAAGGAAAGTATAGAAAACATACAGGGACTCTTAGGTACCCACTCTGAGCAGTTACAATTCTTGAAAATCCTGGGTACTACTGCAGTCGGTTGCCCAGGGTAGAGGCTTATAAAGTCCAGGGGAGAGAGAGACTTTGTCTGGAATCTACCTCATGCTTAGGTGAACTGGCTCCCTACATCCAATCTATGGTTCTTTGTACAGCTCCTGAGAGTGTGGCTGGAAATATATCCTCAGCAAGTGGCAAAATCTCGACTTTGACTCTATGACCCATGGAGTTGGAGTTGTTACAGGAAGAAGTACTAAGTAGAAGCCGCTGCAACCCTTTAAATCAAATAAATCGAAAGCAACACTGTGTCTTTGGGGAAATCGTCGAGACTTGTTTCCCCATAAAGGCTGTGGGTGAGTGCCTTACCCAGAATACATGCAGTATATACAGGCAAGGCTAATTCCACCCTAGAACAGGAGCCAAACATTATCTGGGACAATGGCAGTGCCAATTATCAGAGGCCTGCTGCACAAGAATAGCTGTGCACTCACAGAAGATCCCCGCCAGATGTGGGGGGAGCAGCGAACTGGAATGAGACTGAAATTCAGCTCTTACTAGCTTAGATAAGTTCTTTCTTCCCTTAATAGAAGACACCCTTCAAATTACGGCAAAAACCAGTGGGAGTCATTTATTTTAAACATTTATTTCACAAACAAGTTCTCAAGAAGACATCTAAGTGGACCTTGATACAAAACAATGACTAGACATACAGTTATACTCGGAATGCACTCCAACAGCGGCAAAGGCTCACAGCTACACAAGTCGCTCAGACACTCGCTGCACGGGGGCTTCCCCAGCTCCCTCACAGTTGAGTCTTGTCTGTCACTGGGAACCAGAGCTCACAAGAGAGGCCTTCTTCACTGCAGCTGCCTGCCATTCTACCGCGGTGCCTCAGGGGCTGCCTGCTGTTGAACCTGAGTGGTTTGTACAGCACCCCCTCCTGAAGTACAACACGGGCTCCGTATGGCCTGGGTGCTGCGTGCAGCGATGAGCCAGGCCGGGGCGCCTGGACTTAGAACATCTTCCTCATCTAGACCATGCTCCTCAGCCTCCCAAAACATTAGAGCCGGAGCACTGTTGGCAATCAAGGTCAGCTTCTCTTCAGACGAGGAACTCAGGCCCAGAGAGAGGCGATGATTCGTCAACACTCAGTAAGTGGTATACGACAAGGTGGAAACTTGTCTCTTTTGGCTTCTGGTTTAAAGTTCATTCCACCACGGCAGGCCGCCCTGAGCTGTTCAAGTGTATGTGGGAAATTTTCCTCTTTGAAAAACTAAGGTTTCCTTCCAGATGAATAAATTAGGTTGTACGTGTAACAAAATCACCGGTAAGAACTGGAGGTATTTGTGGGAGTAACAAAGCACGCTTAGGCTGGCTTACAAGCCAGGTTCCAAAATGCCTTGGGTGGGGGATGTCAGATAATAAAATGTCTGCGTCTATACCACTTTTGAAAAATAGGATTTGGGGCAATTTTTAAAGAAATAAGACAGGATTAAATAAACACAGGTTTTAGGTAGTTGGTTTAGCTGAGTTGTAAGTTTTGTTTTTCTAAGTTTTGAGTTTTCCAGCAGCCAGAACAAAGAGAAAAAAGCAGCGTTATAAAAAATCA